AGGTTATCACACGATATTGAATATAATTCCCTGTGCTATACAGTAAGACCTTGTTGTTTATCTGTTTTTATGTACAGTAGTTTGTATCTGCTAATCCCAAACTCGCATTTTATCCCCTCCCCCCACCCTTTCCCTTTGGTAACCATCAGTTTGCTTTCTATGTCTGCGAGTCTGTTTCTGTTTTGTAAATACGTTTGTCGAATCGAACATATGATACAAACGAACTCCACAGGAGGATTTTAGAGACCACTGGGGAAGTACTCCTCACACAGTAAAGGGAAATGGAACTGCGGTCTTTTAAAAAGATGCTAAGATCGGCCGATCCCCAGCTCCTGCACTAACCCAGATCTAGCTCAAGGTAAACTCTAAGCAGCTGGGGCTGGCATCCAACTCAGACAAGGATGGGCAGGCTGATTTTCAAGATAGGAGCAAGAACAACCTTCAGAGCCATCTCAGCAAAGCATGTACATACCGTTTAAGACAAAGACTATGATAATCACCTTGTGAGGTTCTTTAACCTGTTACCTTCACCAGGCTTGTCAGTCTTGTTTCCTTTAGGTCGGTTCCTCAGTGCCAATAGCAACAGCATTCTTAACACAGAGCTGAAGCGGGTGCATTGCGTGTAGATGAGTGTGCTGAAAACAAGGAACGGGATTTTCTATTTGGTCACAGTTGTGAAAGAAAAAAGGAAATGACCTGGTCCCTGGGGTTTGGGGGAAGTGGTAGAAGACAGAGAAGTGGCCCACGTGGCTTAAGGGTGGGAAGTAGTGGTGACATCCACATCTGTTAGGACCCACACATTGGCTGCCCTGCCGTCAGGCAAGTGGAAGGCTATTCGAGAAAGTTGAAGGACATACTCTGATATTTTACAGACGGGGAAACGGAGTCCTCATGGGCAGCAACGACTGAATAACTGCTAAGAGCCCAGCCCCGTGAAAGATGGCGTTCCATCTTCGAAGAGGTTCATTCAGACCTCACAATAACTCAGTAACAGGGGTATTATCCCCATATCTTGGATGAACACACTGAGGTTCAGAGAAGAGTTACATAAACCAGTCAAGACGGGGAGGACAGATCTGGAACTGGAGTCTGCCCCCCAGTTCATTATTTCTCTACATTACCAGGAAACATTTAATTTCAGACTCTCTCTTAATAATGAAGTTCTTTGATTTTTAAACCAGAATAATTGGCTATTGCAATTCATATTATTTTGGTCCTATCTTGACGTCCAGAAAATGGAGAAACTTAATCCCAGACTCCAAAGTTCCTCTACTCCTTTATAAAACATAGCGTTATTTGGGATGAGGAAGCATTTACAATCGGGTGATAGATATGACTTGGAAAAACTGGGCTCAGAAAGAGGCTCTCCAGATAAAGTGACTAGTGATATTGTCATGCTGGATTTCTGCTTCTTCCCAGCGTCTTCTTAGCTTCTCCTCAGTTCACTGGTAACATACTACAACCCCTTTCTTACTACGGAAACCGTTTGTTCCATAACGTGGCATGCAACTTTCTTGGATGGATTCAGAAAAAGAAATTGTAAGGTTGTGTCAGGAAAGAGGTAAACTCCATGGTCACTGAGAAGTTGGACCAGGGTTGGAGGGTAGGGCTGGGAGGGAGAGGAGAAGAAAAAGCGAACAAAAGCTGTAGGTCAGACCCCAGCCTGCTCAGGGGATGACAGCAGCTGAGGAGGAAATATGAGAATACCGTGGGTTTGTCAACACGGGAGAAACTGAAGTTAGGGAGACGGAGTATTTAGAGACGTCCGGACAGTGTCTAGCCTGTACTGGGTGCGGCAGCTATTCAGTGGCTGAACAGAGAGGGCCACCTAAGTGTGTCTGAATGTCTTATGAGGCTTCCAGGCAAGATAAGGCTCAGGCTTAATTCCAAGGTAGGAAGCTGTGGGACAGGTTTTGAGCGCAGTGACTTGTTCGGGTTCGCGCCTGACTCATTAACACCCGTCTTTCTTTGCTCCTCAGCAACCAGAGCCCACCCCACAGTCATCTTACTACCCTCCTCTCCTGGACCCTCTTGTAGCCCCCCTCCCCCTCCACACGCCACACAAGACAATGACCTGCACACAGAATCTAGGCCATCCTTTCTACTCTCTGCCCTGTCCCCAACTCTCACGTTTCCACTAAAATTTATCTCAGTTAACAGTTGCCAGGAAAGTAACTTGATGACCGATGACGTCTCGTAAGTCATTTATATGATCAGGAAGGTACCTGTTAATCTCAAAGGCCAGAGGCATTAATCAGTGAATTTTAGGGAGGCTATTTCAGGCCTTTATTTGTGGTGTCTCTCGAATTAAAGGAAGATGATTACTATTAATATAGTTATAGTAAGTAGATGCTAGAGACAAGAGCGATTTTATTTTCAAAGTGACATGGGGTTGTAAAGTCTTAGCCATCCTGCGGTCCCCTCAACGTGCAAATGACAAGCTTAGGTCTGAAAAACTATCCACAAGAGTAGTCTGCAGGCAAACAGCTGGTTTTGAGAGGCTGTTGCGAAATGGCAGAGGAATTGCTTCAGAATTGGTGAGTCTGACCGAGACACTTTGGTGCTTCGAGAAAAGGGAACAGGTAGACAGGCTGCTCGTGTGTTCTGTTGAAAATACTCCCTGTGGTGCATACGATCCACCTGAAATGAGCTCCACTGTAAAGATTTCTCCTTGAATTCATGCAAAGATCTGAAAAACTGAGGACTCAACACAGGTCTTGCCAGTCAAAGCAGTGTAAGGGACCTTTTTCACTGTACTTCGTACCATGAGCAAGGACTGAGAGAGGTCACTGTCAGGGTCGGATCCGCTGACCGCGCTAACTTCCCCGTCTCAGCTGATGTCAGTACTTTCCCAAGTGTCTTTGCAGATTGTAATGAACTTGGGCGGCTTTCTCAGCCCTCCATCCTCGCTGTGCGCTGCCTCTTCCTCTAGTCGCGTCTATAAAGAACCCCATGTCATGACAGAGAAATCACACAGAATGACAAAGGGCCTTTCCTCCTGCACTCATTAACCACCTGGCAAAACAGTTCAGAACGGGGGTAGAAGGGGACCTGAGAGTTAGCATTTACTTTTCAACTTTCTATTCCACAATGTCGGTGGTCAAATTTCCATTTTTATTTTAAAAAAGGGAATTTTCCAGCCAATGAAATGACCCCCCCCCCAGTTTCTAGAGAGCAAGGAACACAACATGCAAAAAGCAATGCAGAAGTAGGAACATTGAAGATACTCTCTTTATGATGGAATAGATGGCGACAGGCTGATGACAAAAGCACTGAGGCATCGTGACAGCCGGGTCTTAATCCCAAGAAAAACAAATGTTAAATATAGAAAGTCCAGTTCATCAGCAAGCTACATCCTCTGTGATGTAAGGGCAAGCAATGGAAAAGTGCTCCAATTAGCACAACATATGAAACAGGAGATTAATAAACATCTCTTCTGTCTAGCCATTTGGACAAATGGGCCTCCATCAACTTACTTCATGGTGTGGGCTGAGGAATGGTTAAGACGTAAAAAAAACCATTTGGCTCTCATCTATCATTTAGCTTAAAAATAACTGTCTTTTAGAAAATGCATCATTTACATGGCTGGAAAATCAAAGAATAGATGAATAAAATGGATGCACTTACCCCAGAATCTGAAAACTTTTCTCTGGATAAGTTGAAACGAATGAGCGTCATAATGAACCGTAGCAGAGGACGCCAGGGGTTTGGGGCAGATTTCTCACAGCTGTAACTTGTAGGCCTGAAATGGTGACATTATTCAGAAATAATTTTTTCCACATACTCACATTTGCTCACTTGTAGCTTGTATTAATTGAAAATTCATCCCCTAATTAGTCTCTGTTGAAGGTATTTTTAAAATGGTTCGTTTATCACAGTGGTTGGCACTGCTGGAATTCAGAGTGATGCCAGCCAAATGCCATTTCAAATAAAAACCTTTCTTTTTTTCTGTTGGCAACAGAAAAGAGCCGAGTCACACAGTAGCTCTTGATTTATGAACTGAGCTTTCTTATTCTCAGACTCCCACGATGGGTGCAGTTCCCTTTAAGGAACAGACATTTACCAAGAAAATAATCTTGTCTCCAAATCTGCTTCTTAATTTGAAATCATATGGAGCTTTGATTATCCTGGTTCCATTCTCATGCCCCCAAGGATCAGGTGAGTGAGTGGAAACAAAATCTTGAGCAGCTTCTTGCTTGTAAAATGTCCTTCGATGACACATCGGACAGGAACCCCCCCTCCTCCAAAAAAAACCACACATATATTGTGGGCAAATTTTGTGGGAATATTTTACCTTCAACATTCCAGGAAGCATTTTGTCAGCCTTGGGTCACATCCTGAAAGTATACAATTGTCTCCCCCAAACACGGTTGAAGCGCTGACCAGAGAGGATGTAACTACTCAGAGCCGATCTGGAGGATGGATGGGTGAAGGGGCCAGGGTGAGGAGGCAAGAGAATGGACAGAGAGAAATTTGGACCTGCCTTACGGGATATTTTGGCTGTAGGCAGAGTGTCCATCCTCTGAGTGGTCCACCAAACAAAGTGTTTATTGTAAAGTGGCCCTGATTCCTGGAGAAAAAGAAAAATGACTCCTATTGACTGGACGGAAATTAACTCCTTCCTCCCTTTTGTAGCAGGGAAGGCACTGGATAAGTACTTGGTGGTTAATTTCTTTGGTTGGTTTCAAGGGGAGTCTCCGTGTCCGGAATAGTGTTTACTCTGACCGAATTTTCTGTGCTGCCGAGTGGCAGGATTTTCTAGGCTAAAGTGTCCACTCCCCCACCTAGCACAGGTAGACGACGTGGAAAACATAGTTTAGTAGTTATTAAACTGTAATCGTTGGGCTGCAATGACTCCTTTTTTCACATAGACGTAACTAAAGCCTATTTAATATTGAATTTTTAAAACCTGCTTTCAGACTTGAGCTGGAAAACAGTTGGCCTCTATCATGGATGCTAAAAGCAATAATAACGGTACGTTCTGTCTTGATCTTTTAAAGACTGAACGAATTTGGAGGGAGGAAAATGACTTTGCCTAGGGATGGCTGTGACACCACCAGGATTACAGTGAAGAGCTGGACAGAAGGGTCCAATTGTAGCATGCTCCCTTTAAGAGGGAAACAAGATTAGCAACCTTGGCAAATTTTCGGCTTCTATTCAGAGGGAAAGAGAAGAGTTTCCAGTGTCCAAAAAAAAAGACAGACAGAGAGAGACACAGACAGGAAGAAAGAAAGAAAAGAAAAATAAAGAATGGATTTTTTGAAACAAAGGCAGAAGCAATTTTATACTTCACTGAAAGCTCACCTGGGAGTGGTTTAAACTCCTCTGGGGTTAAGGAAGATTTCTTTTTTTTTTACCTCTCAAGACCAAAGGTGGAGCTAGGGTAAAGGAACCGAATCTGAAATAGCGTCCCCGTCAGTTCTGTTCTGTCCTGGGAAGCACACAAGGAAGAAAAATCTCCGTGGAAGAGAGAGGAGGCTACAAGTGATGAAGGTGAGGGACCACCCTGTTATAGCAACCAGCATGTGAGTTCCATTTTAACGTGAGCCTGGAGACTCTTTATCACCTCCCTTTTCTGAGGAAAACTGTCTGACTTAAACAGAAAGCGTATTAAGACCTCTGGACAAATACCTGCATTCGATTTTGCCTTTTTACATGATAGATTATTTTGTTTTCTAAATGCTCTCAAGCCAAAAGAGTCTACAGATTAAAACAAAAATTTTTTTTGCAGGTCAGAGAAGGTAGTGAGGCTTCATTTGGGATAATCATAGTGTTTACTGAAGCCTTACGCATATATAAAAATGTGATTTTCTCTAATTGCATACTTTGTTCCTATAATGACGGAGCTGAATTCTCAGCTGAAATGAGTAATCAATACTTAACGTCTCTGTCGTTCAGACAAAGTCTCAGCTATTTCAGATGGCATGAAATTGCTGCAAATTTGGCAAACTGCTCTAACGATGGAAATTTTACCAGCTTAAAGCTAAAGTGCGTTTGACGTTCTGTTTTTCAGGTTTTATGTGAAAACCCAAACTAACCAAGAGCGCCACACCTAGAACGACTGTGACTGCAGAGGTCAGCCGGAGTGACCCAGGGGGCCAGGGGGAGGATGAGCTATTACGGCAGCAGCTATCGGGTCGTGAACGTGGACCCCAAGCTCCCAGGCTGCCCCCCGGGGCACATCACTGCAGAGAAGAGAAGAGCCAGACGGCGTCTGCTGCACAAGGATGGCAGCTGTAACGTCTACTTCAAGCACATTTTCGGAGAGTGGGGGAGCTACGTGGTTGACATTTTCACCACTCTCGTCGACACCAAGTGGCGCCATATGTTTGTGATATTTTCCTTGTCTTACGTCCTCTCCTGGTTGGTGTTTGGCTCCATCTTTTGGCTCGTAGCCCTTCATCACGGAGATCTGTCCAACGACGCTGGCATCACGCCTTGTGTCGACAACGTCCACTCCTTCACGGGGGCGTTCCTCTTCTCCCTGGAGACCCAGACCACCATCGGTTACGGCTACCGCTGTGTCACCGAAGAATGCTCTGTGGCCGTGCTCGTGGTGATCCTTCAGTCCATCCTAAGCTGCATCATAAACACCTTCATCATTGGCGCCGCCCTGGCCAAGATGGCCACCGCCCGGAAGAGAGCCCAGACCATTCGGTTCAGCTATTTTGCCCTCATCGGCATGAGAGATGGGAAGCTCTGCCTCATGTGGCGCATCGGTGATTTCCGACCCAACCACGTGGTGGAAGGCACCGTGCGAGCCCAGCTTCTCCGCTACACAGAAGACGGCGAAGGGCGGATGACCATGGCATTTAAGGACCTAAAATTAGTCAGTGACCAGATCATCCTTGTCACGCCGGTCACGATCGTTCATGAGATCGACCACGAGAGCCCACTGTATGCCCTCGACCGAAAAGCCGTGGCCAAAGACAACTTCGAGATTTTGGTGACATTTATCTATACTGGCGATTCGACCGGGACTTCCCACCAATCCAGAAGTTCCTACGTCCCGCGGGAAATTCTCTGGGGCCACAGGTTCAATGACGTCTTGGAAGTGAAGAGGAAGTACTACAAAGTCAACTGCCTGCAGTTTGAGGGCAGCGTGGAAGTCTACGCTCCCTTCTGCAGCGCCAAACAGTTGGACTGGAAAGACCAGCAGCTCCACAACATGGAAAAAGCCCCGCCAGTCCAAGGATCGGGCGTGCCAGACCCCAAGGTCAGAAGAAGGTCGCTGAGTGCAGTGGCCATTGTGAGCAGCTGTGAAAACGCAGAGGAGACCACCCCATCTGCCACAGATGAGTGTAAGGAGGCACCTTATCAGAAGGCCCTCCTGAGTTTAAATACAATCTCTGTAGAATCCCAAATGTAGCCCCAAGTCCCAGTTGCAGGGGCTGCCACTCAATCATTTTCACTCTCTAGCCAATCACCTTAAGGCGAGGAGCAGGCAGCAGGGCTTTTAAAGAATGCCATAGCTATCTTTGATGGGGATGGGAGACAAACAGGGCTGGTCAAACTTGATAAAAGATATCTAAAAATCACGTAGTAGCCAATTGTTTAATTTTTTTTTCTGGCTAGCCAATTTTGTGTTAGGGATGCGAGTAAGAAGTCT